GAGGGGTTCCATCTCTAGCTTCCACAATAGATCCAAGCCATTCTCTTGTCAGAACCACCAGTGAAGTCTAGTTGCCTCGTTGGCTTCTTCATCCGGTAACGAGACTCATCAGATGCACCTCATTTTTTGTCGAGAATTTGCCTCCTCTCCGGCCTTCACCCATCTGAAAATATTCGAATCTTTAAGGAACTCAAAAAAAATTCTTCTCTAGTTTCAGCTGAAAAATAAAAATTCTCACAGATCAGCTCAAGAAAACACAAAGAAAATAACAGAAAAGAAGAAAGATTCAAATACTATTTTCATCGTAAGAAGATTGGTTTCAAAAGCATAGCATAAGAGCAAAAACTTAACCTGGTCCAAAATGGCAGCTAATTCGTGAATGCTCTTTGGAGTTTGTGCATATGGAAATGGTTGTGGAAGTCATTTTCTTTAAAGCTCATATTAATCAGCGATTTGTTCACACCACAGGCATCAAGCATGTGCTGAAAACTTGTTTCTGAATCCATGTACCAGAGCACACAAAATTTGCGTCAACGTTGGTTAGTGAAACTTGGATAATTGAATTGTATAAATCATGGTTGTAGTTTACCTCATACCGCCAGCTAGTCATCTGGATAAACCGTTCAAACCTGCTCCAACTACATGTTATGCCCATGTTAACAGAACATGATCGTTTTTTGAACAAGATTAATACTCACCATAGTTTGCAACGACGGGTTTAAAGGATTTCCATGTTACATGAATCGGAAAAGTGGAATTAGTCTGACCATGAAAACCTTAAGAAGACCTTGAAAACCTAAGAAGAGAGATATTACCTTTCTGATGTTTGTCTTCTCCTCATTGTAGACCATAAATGAAAAAAACTGCAAAGAGAGAGAGAGAGTCATCGAATATTCAGAATTTAAATATATGAACTCTAGGAATTTTAAAACTACCAAAACCATAAATGAATAAAAAAACACTCAGAATATTTCCTAACTTGAGTTCTACAGGTGATGTAATATCAAAATCACTAATACTTTGGGCAACAAGGAATAGGATGGAGGCAATTTTAAATAAAATGAAGGGCTTGTAAAACTAAATTTTACCTTACAGTTACTTGGATGTTTGAGAAAAGGCCACCAGAGCTGAATTTGCTCGGTTATGAGTGTTGTGATTGTACTATTGTTATTTTAGGTCGTTTCTGCAAGAACAATCAGAAAAAAAAATAGAAGGTGATGAGGGAAGGGAGATGGTCATTTTGGATTCATCGATGAAAGTGTTTATTACTGAAAGGAAAAGAAACAGAGGTTTTACCAAAAAAAAAAAGAAACAGAGGTGAAAGAATCGGAAACGGAGATGGAGAAGGAGAAGGGATGAAACATATCAACAACTCAGTATCAGGCTTTCTAGTTAATGGGTCTAACGGGCCACAAGATAATTTTGGAAGAGATAAAAAAATCAGACCGAACATTTCCACTTCCGACTATGACATGGCATAACGAAATATTATGACTGGTCAAATATTTTTTCTGACGTGGATAGCCCCACAAGGCTTCTTATTCAACTTTTAATATTTGTTTGATGAAATATGAATATCTGATTTTGTTATTTTGTATTTTTGAAATTAATTCTTTTTTTTATAATAAAATTTTTAATTTGCAAAATTTCACAATTTCAAATTTTCAAATTTTCAGATTTTTCAAATTTTCCAATTTTTTAAATTTTCAAATTTCGAATATTAATATAGTTTTACTTAGTTATACCGAGTTGTACTGATAAATTAAGTATATTGAGTTTTACTAGTTATACTGAGTTATATTGCGTTATAATAGTTATATTGTGTAATACTGATGCTAGTTATACAAAATTTAACTGAGTTATACTGAATAGTCCTACTGAGAATTACTACTCCGTATTACTACCAAATAGTACTACCGAGTAATACTGAGTAATACTGAGTAATACTATTACTACCAAATATTACTGAGTATTACTAAGTACTACTACGTATTAGTAATACGGTATTACATATAAAGTTGTTAAAATTAGATCTGAAGATGATTAAAATAAAAGTGTAAAAAAATTTATGAAAAGAAGAACAAGAACAATAAGAATCCTAAATCACAGAAAATACATAATCTTTTACCTTAAATCAACAAAGAAAACTTAAATCAAAGTAAAAATCCAAAATTCTTCATTAAATTAAGCAGAGTCGTATTCTGAATAGATTTGAGATGCGAAAACAGAAGAAATCGTCTTTTATGTTGTCGCATCACCTTTGACGATTGATGTTCTTGTTTCCACTAGTTGCAGAGTTGCTGATGAAAGCTTCTATTACCGGTGAAGTTCTCATCATCTGCAATGAATCTCAGAGAAAAAAAACATAGAAAAAGGGAAAGAAGAAGAAAAAATCACAGAGAACAAAGAGAAAGGAGAAAAAATGATAAATGAAAGAAAAATCATTGGCCTCTTTTCTTTATTATTATGGTTAAGGGTAAATGTATCAATCATTCTATTTTTGAATTAAAAATAAAGTAAAATAATATCAAAATTAGAATGAGTTTTTGGGAGATTAGATAATAGAGTGATTTAGTGAACTACCCATATTTGAAGCTCAAATTAGTAAAATACCATTGATTGGACATGAAAGACATTGACACAACCATTTGGCAAGGAAATACCGAGAATGCCCTTTCTCTTTCCTCTCATTAACACGAAGCGTAAAAACATTTGTTAACATATAACACTTCTGTTAACGTCTACAATATTTGTTAACAGCCAACACATTTATTACCGCGAAGCGTAAAAATAATTGTTAACAGTTAACACTTTTGTTAACGTCTACAATATTTGTTAACAACGAACGCATTTATTAACGCGAAGCGTAAAAATAATTGTTAACAACTAACACTTTTGTTAACGTCTACAATATTTGTTAACCGCTAACACGACGTCGAATCTAAAACCCAGAAAATTGATATCATCAAAAAATTGAGGATTCAAAGCCACTTATGAAAAAAATAATGAAATTTAAAATTTAATTGTATATAGAATGATAGAGATTTGTAAAATAATTAGGGATTAGAGAGAGAAAAAAAAAAAGGTCAAAAAATTGAGGATTCAAAGTCACTTATGAAAAAATAATAAAATTTAAAATTTAATTGTATATAGAATGATAGAGATTTGTAAAATAATTAGAGATTGAAGAGAAAAAAAAAAGAGAAATGTCAAAGAGAGGAGAGAGAGTATAGAGAAGGGCAAAATCGTCACACAAAAAAAGCTGGCTACAAAAACTTATTAGATAATTCACTAAATATAGGTGGCATATAGGTACTTTAGCCAATTAACTCTAGATAATAAGATATGGAGTAAGCCTAATATGGAGGTATGAAACCACTTGGCTCCAAATAATGTTAGTCTGAAAACCCGACTCAAAAATGTTTTTACACTAGTAGGTGTAGGTCTCTGATAGAATCCCAAACTTCAAGGCATATCAGTCTCATATTCTGATCGTAGAAAATATATTTTATTATCATTCGTGTAAACTGTGAAGACATATGTTACGATAAATTTTCGACGTGGTGCAAATAAAAGTTACAACTATAATCACATGGTGGTTCTATATGGTGGGTGTAGATTCTAAGAGTATCTCCAATGGGGTATTTACCCATTAGATTATAAAAAGATACATGTAGATATGTAAATGTTATATATATGTATGTAGATATGAGGTCTACTAAATAGTATAGAATTTTTATCTAAAGTTCTAAAAATAAAATTTTTAGAATTTTTAGAACCTGTTGTTCTACACTATTTAGTGAATCACATATCTACATACACATATATAACACATACTCGATTTTAACCCGTGTTTGAAAAAGGCGGAATTTTTTTATGATTAAAATTTATATAATTGAGTTTTTTCTTAATATAAAGAATATTTTGAGATACAATCAATTCACCAAAATTTGTGGTGATGATTGTTTTTATTAGTTTTTAGTTTTAGTTTTTATTTTTAGATTTTGTTTTAGATTTTGGTTTTTAGTTTTTAAGTTTCTATTTTTTATTTTCAGTTTTTGGTTTGAGTTTTAATTTTTAGACCCGCTGAGTTAGTTTGAACAGATATATTACCAACAAACAAATCTCAAATTATCGAACATCTACTTTAAAACTGAAAAGATGACAAAAAAATTTTAAAGAAATTTGCAATATTTTATTTTGTAAATAAACAAAAGGAAAAAAATATAACCTACTTTTGCAGTTTTAGTTTTTAGATTTGGTTTTTGGTTTTGCTTTACATTTTTTTTTACATCAGTAAATTATTTTAGAGAAATAAAACAATAATTAAGTTAAAAGTCACCACTGAAATTATCATAACAAAGTGATTGTTATTTAAAATAAAAAATACATTAACATGTTTTAAAGTACATGATTTAAATAAATGATTAATAATAGACAATTTTGTTTTGTTAAAAATATTAAATATCTTTTGTGCTTGAAAATAATAACTGATTTTTTGATCCATTAAGGTAGAAAGTTTATTCAATGTTTTTTGGAGTTTTTCCTTAATACTAAGCCCAAAAACCAAACTAATTAAATAAGTGATTAATAATAACTAATTTTGTTTTGTTAAAAATATTTAATATTTTTGGGCCTGAAAATAGTAATTGATTTTTTGATCCATTAAGGTGAAAATTTTATTTAATGTTTTTTTTGGAGTTTCTCTTTGATACTAAGCCCAAAAACCAAACTATATAATTTGTCATAAAAATAAAAGCAAGTCCAAAACTCTATTCCATAAATAATCGCCGGTTTAATTTAAGTAATACGGTTCAATCAACTATATGACTTGTATTATTTGTAACACTCTCGAAAGGACAACTTGTATCAATAGATAAAAAGAATGACTCTATTTTAATTGCGTAGATATACACATATATATACCTTTTTAGAATTCCAATGGATAGATGTTCCTTTGGAGGTGCTTTAAAAAGACTTGGCTCAGAATCAGAATAAGACTTGGATCATGAAACTTTTTATTCCGGTTAAAGATCAACATATATAAAACCAAAAATTCCATCTGAGAAATATGGTGTGAACTCAAATGAGTCTTAGAACAAGAACTCCAAGTTTAAGAGCAATGTTCATCGTTGCTTTTGTTTCCATATACTACCGAACTGGAGATATAACTCTGCTCTAGGAAATAATTCAAAAGACAACTGAAAAGAAAAAAAAGAGTTACTGAAGGGAATAGAAAAAAAACGAAATGTTGCATCACTCTCCTTCATGAACAAAGCCTCTTGGCTTCTATGTCTCCTAGTTTGTGGATGGTGATCGAGTGAATCTTGATCTCACTGGTGTCTTTGAAGGGCTTACCCTGAAGAACATGTCAAATTTTTTAAAAGTCAATAAAAGATGTTGCATATATTAAGTAAAACATATATTACCTTATAGGCTGAGATCCTAAGACTACTCCGCTGCAGTTGAGCGCCGCAACTGCACTCTCTGCCTATTTCCATTCCCAAAGCAAAAACATATTCAGTATAACTAAGATTCATAAGCCTTTGCAATTTGTTAGTTCGACTTGTAAAACAATAGTTGATCTGAGGGAGCTTACCATGGCAAATTCAACAAAAGCTATGCGAGTCGAATGCAACTGGTCACCAAGAAGCCTTATGCGAGTAACCTATATAATAGAAATAAGTCATTGATTTATTGTCATTGAGAAAGAAAGAAAATCTTAGTAGTTTCCGGGTTATAGACTGACCTCACCGCAGGCAGACTCAAAGAAAATTTTGACATCATCTTCAGTGGCCTGCAAGTTTCAAACAAGTAATCTTAAAATCAACAACAGTTAGCAAACATTAACTTTAACCGGGATTAAGTGTTTACATTCTTGTCGACATTAGTGCAGTAGATGGTTCTTGTACACATCTCCCTCTCATCTTCTGACTGAATACCAACACAAACAGCCATAACGTTTCAGTTTTCAGAACTCAAAAAATGTAAAATCTAATTTTGACAAAAATAGAAAGCATTACATACCCTTGGGAGAAATGTGGGATTGACTGGAAGAATGGCAGTTTTTGAAGGCAAGACTCTAACTGGGTGAAAACCGATTATTGTCCCACCGACACTTAAGGCAGCCCTCGCACCTTCTGTTTGAAAACAAAAACTCTTGCAAATGTAATTCAAATTAAAACAAGATTAAGAATGTTGACATCCTTTAACTTACGGTCATCAGAGAACTCAACAAAGGCAAAGCGAAGAACTGAATGTGGATCTCCGCAGATTCGGCAATCAACAACCTTTCAGAAGAAGAATGCAATGTTACCTCATCAAAGACAAAGAAAAGAATAACAACAATAAAGCTTACGGATGTACACTTACTTGTCCATAGCTGCTGAACAAGCCAGCTAAGACTTCCTCAGTCACCTAATTGGAAAGAAGAATATCGAATTACAATGATGCAAAACCAAGGACCTTTTTTTGCAGAAAACCTGAAGAGATAGACACTTACAGTCTGATCAATGTCAGAGACATATACTGTTCTTCTAATACTATCCTCTCTTTGAGCCTTGGAAGCTCTTCCAGTTATCCTCACTTTCCTCCCTTGGTTATAATTGTTTCTGCTCTGCTATCCACAAAAAACAAAAGTTGATAAGGATAATGTAAAGATTCTCAGTTGATTATATAAGGAGTTGCAAAACAAGATCAGACTAATAAAAACAAAAGTTTCTATCTGAGATCGTCAAAATGAAGCTCCAAGCTAGAGACATTATAACATAACTAACTTCACCTTAGAAACATCATCACATAAGCAGCCAATCAAATTCATTTACAGGTTCAACAACAACCAAACTCAATCAGAAACAAAATGGTTACCCTCCGGTAATTGCCATCCTTTTTGTTGTCACCATTAGGTTCTTCCTCGGACAGCTTCTTCTTAGCGGTCGCAAAATCGACAGAAGACAGAGACTGATTGTTCTTCTTCTTGTAAGAAGGGAAAAACTCCTTAGCTTCAGGATTCAGGACAAGCTTCCTCATGTGATCAACCTCCGGTTCCGGTTTTGTTTCAGATTTGGGTTTGAAGTCCGATTCGGATTCCGGTTTAGAATCCGTCACCAGGCTCTTCTCAATTCCGTCACCACCACCGTTGATGGCTACGTCGTGAACGGATTCAACATCGGTGGAAATCTCAGCCATTAGATCAGAAAATTCCAAATAAATTATAAAAAAAATAACCAACAGCAATGAAAGACGACAATTCACCAAAAACAGAAGCCGGATGTAACAAAAGCTTCCAACTTTTTATTCTCTCTTGATAAAAAATGCAGAATTTCAGATGATAAATTATCCAGAAAAAGTACTTAAAATCAAGAAAGGAGAGTGTTAATGAAGATCCATTTCAGAATTTTAACACAAGCAGACGAGAATGCTTGATCGTAGATATATATATTTGGAATCTAATGTGTTATGAGAGAGAGAGAGAGGATGGGGAAGAAGGAACGATGGGTTTTAGTTTTGGCCTTTTCTTGCTCAAATGGACGCTAACTCTCTCACAAGACTGCTGCTTCTCTTCTTTTCCGCGGAACTAACTTTTTTATTTTATTCTTTTTTTAATTACGTCAGAGAAATTAATAACAGGAAAGATAGATTTTTGTAATTTTTATCTATCCATTTGGTATGACTTTATATAAATTACACATAAAATCCACTAATTTATTGTTACTACCCAAATTTTAGGTTTGCCATATTTTAAATCCAATGTGATTCTCCACTTTTTTAACCAAACCAAGATTGAGATAATTATTTATGGTGATAAGGTGTGTAGTGACAGGTTGATAAAAAAAAAGGTGTGTAATGACTAATTAGCATTTTAGGAAGTAAATCGTATCATATTACAAGTTTTGGTATTAATATTTTTTGTAATAAACATACTACATGATTTGTTTATTTTATTAAAAAACATGTTTACTTTTATGAATTAATAGAGAATATATATTAAAGGACAATTCCCTCAAATAGACTTTGTAAAGTTTTTATCACACAAATAGATCTCAAAAACTAAAATGACCAAAATTGTATTTTTTTATTTTTTTAAATCTGAAATCTTATCTCAAAACTTCACTCCTCAAATATAACAAAAAGATCTATGATTAGTTAATCCAAAATGTATAAGTATATATTACTTGTTTAAAATAATACATTTACGTCTATTTTGGTCATTTTTATTTTTAAACTCTATATTTGTAACAAAAACTTTTTTAGTTCTATTCTAGGGAGTTTTTCTATATATTAAACTTTATGCCATTTTCTACTTTCAAATAAATTTTTAATTAAAAACATTATTCTATTTTCATTTAATAATAGACTACAATTTAGATCATTCCAACAATAAAACAACAAAATAATTTTTATTCATTGCTTAATTTTCACTCAAAAATATTTAAGTTTGGAGTTTAATTCTATTCTAGAGAAAACCTTAATATATCAGAAATCCTCTTAGATTATTATTTATTATTTTTATATATTTATGTTTTATTATGCATTTATATGTTTATTTTCACTATTTTCAATTTTTATTTTTCCATATTTTCTTTAAAACTGAAAGAAAATTGTATTAATTTGTTTGAGTTTTATAATTTCAAAATTCAAGTTTACGGATTATAATTGAAGTTCTGGATTTACAATGAATTTTTGGAGATTTAAGTTTAAATTTAGATTATATTGTTTTGTTAAGCTTTTTTTTTTTGAGCAAATCTCCAAAATATCACATTTCTAAGTTTATGTCACAAAAATAACACTCAAAAACTAAAATGAAAAAAAAAATATTTTTCAAAAATTGAAATCTTATCCCCAAAACCCCACTCCCCAACTCTAAAACCCTAAAACCTAAATTCTAAACCCTAAACCCTAAACTCTAAACCCTAAATCCCACCCTTAACTCTAAACCCTAATGTCTAAATTAATTTATCATTAGGATATATGTGTATATTTATCTGTTTCGATAAAACATTGAATGCTATTTTAGTCATTTTCATTTTAAGTGGTATATTTGTGACAAAAACTTTTTAGTGATAATTCTGGAAATAGTCAGCTTCTTGGGGTGCGTAATTTTGATCGAGTGGAATCGGCGTTGCATTCAGAGTTGGAAACACTGCGGTGGGCAATGGAGAACATGCTTCAACATTCGCCATGAGCTTTTGAACTGATTGTAAGAAGATGATCGAAATGCTCATGAATCCTCATGCATGGCCTAACTTCTCAACAGAACTGGAAAAATTGACGACACTAAAGATATGCTTTCCAGACTTCAAGATTTCATATGTTCCTAGACTTCAGTACGGCGTTTCAGATTCTTTAGCTAAGTTAGCTATGTCTCTTTATCGTAAGCTTGTGTATGTTGGTTGTTCTATTCCGGTCTGGTTACCCAGACCACCTCAAGTCGCTTGAATAACAGATCAGCCGTTTGATGAAAAAAAAAAAAAATTTAGTGCTATTCTAATCATTTTCTCTTTTTTTTTTTAACACATATTGTTTTGCTAAACTAAAATATATATATATGACCCCTTTATATCATGCATATCCTCCATAAATTTTGGTACTTGTTGGGATACTATGCCTTATTTTACTCGGTCCTCATTCAAATTCAAAAAAACTACTGTTTTATGAACTTTTAATTTCTCCATTGTTGCATTAATAAATCTGTTATTTGCTCCAGAAATTTTGGATTTGTTGTGATATTTATTTTCTACCTATTTACTTTGCTGGCATTCTTGGCCAGACAACAAAATTACTCAGACTCTAAATGCACTTTATCTTCAGTTTTTATTGTACTTTTTTTGGTAAGGTTATTATTCTTTCTGTTACATCATCTTCCTTTTAAAAAATACTCCTTTTTTTTTTAAAACAAGTTTGTCATTTTTGTATAGACATATAGGTAGATAATCACTAGTTGATGTATTTTAATATGTAAAAAGATATTTTTTTTCTTTCAGCAAAACAAAAAAGTTTCATTGGTTAAGAAATTGGCAAAAGATGTGATGCAATGACAATTTGAGCTTTCTTGAAAGATGCTAGCAAACGAAAAAGTACCCAACAGAAAAAACTTTGGCAAATTCAAAATAGTGACGTTTACTTTTTCTTTTCTTGAATATTATTCGATATATCATTGCAATACATTGTAAGACAGTAGTATACGTAACAAAAGTAATAAAAATGGTTTTTCTTATACTCTTTTACTAGTTTTACGAATAAACAAACAATTATAAATAGTTGGCAAGTTAACTTGCACAGTTTTTGCTATTCGTTCATGGGGTCGGTTTGCATTAGGGGAAATTGGGAAAAGGGGTCATATTGAAAATGTTTTTAAGCTTTGCAATAATTAATTAATTTTAGACATAAATACTTTTATAATAATGAAAATAATTATTAAAATTAATACAAAATATAGAAAAAGACGAAAAGTTCAGTACGAAAATATTTTGATATTAAAAAATAATTTTCAGAATAAATGTGAAATTGTTGATCTCAATTTGTTTTTTTTTTGGGCATCAAAAGGCTGATCTATTACTCAAACTTGAAGTGGTCTAGAAATCCAGAACAGAATAGAACAACCAACAAACAAAAGCTCTCAATAGAAGGACCGAGCCGTTTTAGCTAAGGAATCTGAAACACTATTCTGTGTCCTAGGAACATAGAAGATCTTAAACTCTGGAAAGCTGATCCGTAATGTCGTAATCTTTTCCAATTCCGTTGAGAAGCTCGCCATTCATGAGGATTCCTCAACATCGTTATCATCTCCTTACAGTCCGTCCCAAAGCTCTGACATGGTGAATGTTGAAGTATGTTCTCCATTGCCCACCGCAGTGCTTCCAGCTCAGAGTGCAAAGTAGACTCCATCCACTCTATCGAAATTGCGCAACCCCATCAACTGACTATTCCCCATACTGTCATTCCATACCAAACCACATCCACTGTAACGAGCTGTCGAGGTCCAAGAACCATCAACCATACAAATATTTCCCAGACTTATGGCCTGGCTTTCGACATCCAAATTTCCTTGAGATGGCGATATAATCTGCTCATTAGCTTGGAACCAGGCTTGACACTCACTCTCTGCATATCGGGCTAACTCCAACGGGTCTCTATCGATTCCTCTGAATAGCTTATCACTCCACGCCTTCCAGATATACCATATTAGCCAGGGATAAGTCCCTATCTATTTCCGTTTCCATTATGGCATTTTTCCTCCAGAAAAGATAATTCATGTTCGCGTATGTGCTCTGTGATGGAAAGAGGGTAGGGCTTGTAGGTGTAGACGATAAGGCCCAAACTTGCATTGCAGGTGGACACTGAAAAATTGCATCAGTAACTGATTCTTCTGGCTCTCCACATCTTGGACAGTAATTATCACATCTCATATGTCTATAGTTCAAAGTGCTTGTAACAGCCACATGACCTATTAGAATTTGCCACATAAGATGACACATCTTCTGGGGCGCCTTAACCTTCCAAGCATGTTCTTGGAGCTTTGTGATACTAGGTTCACAAACTGCCTCTTCCTCCTCCTTCATCAAAATATTTCGTGCAACCCAATATCCAGATTTGATTGTGTACTGTCTGTTTCTTGTGTAGCTCCAGCAGTGCGTATCCTTGCGATGTGTGGAGCTGATGGCCATACTCTGTATGAGAGGTATATCAGCAGCAGATACATAGTTCTCCAACCGGCCCACTCTCATGTTCGGATGCATTACCGGTTTAGTGGGAAATGCTGGTCTCGCTGGAATGGTAGGAATCCATGGGTCCTCCCATACTCTCACCTCATACCCCGAGTGTATTTTCTATCTAACTCCCAGCAATAGTAATTCTTGTGCCGCAGATATACTTGTCTACACATACGATGGGCTACTGATATTAAGCTGATGCAAAGACGTGCTCAAACGATATAACTGGCCCCTCAAAACTCGGGCTACCAGAGAATATGGGTATTGGACCAATCTCCACAACTGCTTTGCTAACAATTCCAGGTTAAACTCATGAATCATTCTGAACCCAATCCCTCCTTCCTCCTTAGATAAACATAATTTATCCCATGTTGACCAGTGAATGCTTTTTTCGGGGGATTCGAACTCCACCAGAACTGTGCAATAGCACTAGCTAGAGCATCACAGAGCTCCAACGGAAGGAGAAAACAAGAAATCACATAGGTTGGGAGAGTGAGAAGGATCGACTTAATCATAACTTCCTTGCCTCCTTTCGATAACCATTTACTCGTCCAACCGTTTACTCTATTCCTCAACTTATCCTTTAAGAAGGAAAAAATCTTGCATTTAGATCCACTGATATCCTCTGGAATTCCTAAGTATGTCCCCATCCCTCTTTCATTCTGAATTCAAGTGTGTCCTTAATCTATTGCCTACCATCATGTCCAATTCTCTTACCAAAGAGTAGAGAAGATTTGTCGAAATTAATGCATTGTCCTGAAGCTTGTCCATATTTTCTGACCACTCTCATTACTTCTTCACATTCA